ACAGGAAATGAGATCGCTTTGGGTCAAAGGTTTTTTCTTTAAAATGAGCAACGCTATAGAAAACTAGGCCACAGCCTAAGCAGACAATTTATTTTGAGCGTTTGAAGGTCCAGGATGTTACAAACTTGATTGTGTCGGTATCCATTTCCATATTTTTTTATCATTCTGCGTTGCGTACCCTTTCGTGTGATGGTATTTTTTATTTTGCATGCCTGGACGTTTAGCGTGAGTTGAATTGTGTTGATGTATTTTGTTTGTTCGGTTTTGGTTGGTCCCAACAACCTTAAATATACACATATGATCACATATGTAGTAACTAAAAAAAACACAATGTTTAAGCACATGCATAAACATCTTATGCGTACATTTAGATATACACATTTGTGTATAATTGTGTTTGTGTATATACACATTTAACCATATACATATTTTCATATATAAATACATTTTCTGTTCATACATGCATAAATATATATACACATCTATATTTACATATTATATACATATACATATATCTATTGTATGAATATATAGATGTATATATATATACACCTTTTTATATACAAACATATATGTACGCATATGATGTACGCATATGTATCTATTATATATACATAATCCGAATCTTTGACATGTTTGCCACGTTTTCCTCATGGAAAATATGCAAGCCGAGGTCCGAACCTTGGACACTACGCCGCCCAGTTTCGGTACCTTCAGTTGCGTGGAGACGCAGGGCACGGAGGTCGGACACCGAGTGGTACAAGGGAAATAAGGTGTGTGTGTGTGTATCTGTTTCTCATTTTTTGTTATTTTAAATACAACGCACATAAATATATATTTATGTATATGTATTATACCTAGACCTACCAACTACATCTACAAAGAGATGAACAAATTGAAGTCATCGGGGAACAAAAACTGTAGATGTGGCATTTATAATTTTCCCGGATATTTGTTTTGATTTACCATACATTCAGACAAGTTAGCTTGATGAAGCACCAACTTATTGGATATTGCTGGTTCCATCTCATTACATGGCTGTATTAAACCATCCAGCTATTGAGGTACCCCCATTTCAGTAAACCCCTAAGTAGTTACAAAATGGATAAAACCAATTAAATGGATAATAATTGGTGGATAGCCGTGGATAGCTTAAAAAAAACAATTGTAAATGATTAGCATTGCTCCTTCAAAATATTGCGTTGTAGTTACGCAATGGAGTTTAAGTTGCGAGAAATATGGACCTCCAAAATCTCCTATAGAATATCTTAACTTTGGTTTGTAGCACTTTCCAGCCAGATGAGATGGACGAAATTAACACAGTTCATTGAGTTCAAAAGCGTTTTCTGGTTGGCGCCAACGTGTTTGTTTTGCGATCCCGAGGAATCCCGGTAAACCCACTAATAGACTAGCCCACTAGCTCCGAAGTTCAGAAATAGGTGGTAAGGAGATGTAAAGAGCGGTATCCAAGTCTTATTAGGCTAATTAGGTTTTAGCACATTACCCATGGATCGCAGACTGAAACCATAATCCAACGTTCTGAAAGACAACCCTTCGCAGGAAAGCGCGCGGTCGGCCAACTGGAGTGCGCAGTTCATGTATACGCGATATCGGCTTGTCTGAAAATGTAGCAGCCCCGGAAATCCAATGCTTTATCATGTGAGTAAATGATACCATCATACATGAAGCATATGGGATTAGAATCCCCATAGAGGAATCTCATGGAGGCCAATTTTGTTGGGATATTATATCGATATATGTGATAAAATAGATACACCACATCACCACTGTCTTCACCCAGACAAGTACAAGGAGCCAAAGACGTGGTCAGACCGGCTCATTAGCTCGTTCCCAGATGCTTGGTACCGGGAGCACTATAAGCACGCTTGGCAGCAGCGGTGGCTGCCAATCGCTGGATTCGGTGCAACCTGGATTGCGCCAAGACTTGGCATTGTAGCCTGGCGCGATGGTGGCAATGCAGCCAATGACTGCGCTTATGGCCATGCAGATTTGCATCCACAGCCTTCAACAGCAGGTTGTGTCAGAGTGCGCAATCAGGGCCGAGCAGCAGGGGCAGATGAAGGTCACAGCAGGTTGACAAGAGAGGAGCGAGATAGCCTGAGACGAGAAATGGGCAGCATCCACTGCCCAGACGGCAGACCCACACCCGTTTAGCCAAACACTTGGAGTACAGTCGGCTTCTCTTTGACCCGGCTGTTGGTGATTTCCTGCTTGATGATTAGATCTATATATGATGGTTGGATCCTCAACGAATCGGTTTGATGGTTAAATCGGAAAATCAAATGTTCCTGGATTTGCTGAAGGTTGGGGATATCGGATTTCATTTTACAATATGTTCCATAGCTGAGGAATCTATTGGGAATGTGTGTATATTAAAATACAGACCCAGAAAGAGATAGAAAAGTAAGATCCTACTCAAACAGAGAATGCATTACTATGTTCCTATCCGTTTTGGGATTCCTACATGTGTATGTATATACATAATGTATATGCATAGGTACCTACATTAATATTGGCCCCAGAAATTTCAAGAATGATTTCACCTGCCAGGTGGACGAGGGTGCCAGGGCTGGGGCATCTCAGGATGTGGAAAGGCAGGATGTGTCAAGCAGAGAGATAAGAATGGGGAAACCTGGATATACCCTAGGGTAAACTAACATGGATGCGGAAAATGACACATTTATGGATGAAGTACCTGTTGAAATGGTGATTTTCTACATCTTTGTTGGTTCACCCCAGGGTTCCTAATACAGTGTTTTTTTTTTTACATATATATATATATTATGTATATGTATGTGTACATATATTTATTCTATTATATTATATTATTTTATTTTATTTTATTTTATATTATATTTTATTTATACTATATTGCATTATATTATATTATTTTATTTTATATCATGTTATATTATATTTTATTATATTTTATTTAAATTGTATTTTATTATATTTTATTTTATTATATTATATTATATATATGAATGTACCTGGGGGTAAAGCAAACTATACATATTATTTTTAAATAATATAGATATATTTTGATATATATATATATGAATGTAGCTGTGGTATACGTATATGCCTATATGTTGATTTGATTAGTTGTTTGAACTTTTTTTGGGTTTACTTAAGAGATAACATGTAGTTGGCTAGGGATGTTTTACTATTCGGTTTGCCTAACTATTATGGATGATTTAAATGCCATACCGTACGGATCCAAGTACTTCCTGAGAGGGTACTCACACCCTAGTACCGAAATACTTCCTGAGAAGGTACGGCTGGATCCATAGGGATTTTTTGGCGGTTGATTTATATAACCATACTATTGATACATGAATTTGTGATTAATTAAACTAACCATTGCATGCATGTATGGTAGATATACTCTTTGGATCTCTCTGGGAGTTAAATATAGCTCTGGAAAACCAGCGTTTTTTGAAGTAAATCATCATCAATCATCTTCAAATGGGCATTTTTTCATAGCTTCATAAACAATCAGAAAGTATCTACATTTAGATGGCCTTTCAGACCAACACACATTTCACTTGGGGGACACCCGGTTGAACCATGTAGCTGTCATAAAAATCTGTCGCAAAATGTCGACTTCTTCTCCCAGAGAACGATACAGCTTGCTATGGAACATATGGCCCATTTAGTTCGATGTTTTACCGTTTTAAGAATGTTTCGTCGAAAGCTGTTTAACTACTAGTGGGTGAATGGGTATGTTAATCCTACTTATATATGTATAATTATAACTATATAATTTGTATGTGCACATTCCTACAGTACATGATGGTAGGGTCCTTTAACCCATTGAGGCAAGTTTTCCTTAGCTGGGTGATGTTTGGCTGCGCGCCAGGATAGAAACTCTCAGAGACTTCACATCAGTGAGATTTCATTCTATTACTTTGCAGTTGATTATCATTATAGTATCGAACAACAACAGTTGATCGATGATTTGTTTGGAAAACCATGTTTTTTTACATGTCATTCTACTCCAGCAGGGTATGTTCTGTGATTCTGCGCTGTTGAAGGAGCTGTTGTCTTGTTGTTTTTGTTCGGGACTAATGCTCGCACAATCAACACGGAGCCGCCAATGTGTCACCAGTGATCAAAAATGACCGGCGTTTGCCATTTCAAAACTTGCATTTAGGCTTGAAGGTGTGTCTGAAATTTGTGCATACCGCCTCAATGAATACAACACGTTGAACTGGGAAAATTATTATACCCTAGTGACAAAGCTAGAGCTCACCATCACTGAGCGCACCAGAAGTCAGAAGCCATCAAGATGGGCAAGAAATGGCAGGTTGAAGTCAACAAACATTACTGTTTGGTGGTTTGGAACATGGCTTTTATTTTCCATGATATATGGGATAATCATCCAAACTGACTAATATTTTTCAGAGGGGTTGAAACCACCAACCAGATTAAGATGATGAGGATCGGAGTTGCCAGTATTCGACGCAGTATTACAGTTTTTTTTTAAATGTTTTTTGGCCATTTACCAGTGAAATTTTGATTATTTCTATGGTTACTTCTATGGGGTTATAATTCCATAAATAGGCGTATATAACATTATAACTGACTTATAACTGGTATTTTGGGGCCATAACTGCAGCACCATGTTTCGAAGGAATCATGGAATCTTGGATGGCCACAATGTTTTTTGGCCGTTGAAGAGGCCATCACCCAAGGGTTGTTTGAAGTGACACAAGTATAACATTTAGGAGGAAAAGAAAACCATCATCAATCACAATTTAGTATTTCTTTGCTGTAAAACATGTTGCAAGTCCTGATCTGGCCCGTATGTACCATCAACTCTATATTTGTTTTTGGTTGAATCGACATTATTCATGTGGTTTGCTTGAAATCCCTACAGCTAATCCCAATTTTGGGGGGGTAAACACATCACACATATAACCCCTTAAGAAAAAAACACCAGGAAACATCACCCACCAATTTCGCTCTTGCGATTTATGGCGGCCCAACGTGGGCCGTCCGCGGCCCAACGCGGCCGCGGCCTCGTTGGGCCGGCGCTGACATTGTCGCTGGGTGTGTGACTTGGACTACTGAAGATGTAAAGGGGCACCCAGTTATGTTCTGGTTGGTTTATACAATGTCAGGCCCCCCAGTGATGTGAACGTTGGTTTAGATTCGCCCCAGGAATGCTATAGTTAGTTGTGTACCATAAACCATAGTTATTGGAGTTTTTTGAACCAACTTAGATATTTTGGGGGCCTCACATTGTAGATTTATCTGGGTAAATTATGTTGCGACCGAACCCTGTTCTCCCGAACCCTGGAATCATGGTGAGTTATAGAGGAATCATCCCCAAATAGCCTTATTTCAGGTTAGTGAAATAGTATAATTTACCCAGATTTATAAACCCCATGAAGTATAGCTATACTTGCATATACTTGCCACAAACTTATTGGAGTTATATTAAGTTATACGGCAACTTTACAATTCTACTGGGAGCGGCTTGCATCAACCCCCAAAATGGATGGTGCTAGTGATGGGTTACTGAAGTTCACCAACGATGTGAGCCCTTTGGTACCCCAATTTTCACCCATACCATCTTGGAATATGCTTTATGGGGGTGTATTCTGTAATATGTTGTTTATGTTTACAATGTGAGGCCCCCAAGATAGCTAAGTTGGTTTATAGCTCCAATAACTATGGTTTATGGTACTTATAACTATAGTTACTGGGGCTTATAAACCAACTTATAACTGGGGGGCCTCACATTGTAACCAACCAACCATTCATTTTTCGTTATTTAAAAATTCAACCAACCATTCATTGTTCATATTATCACTATACTTATCATCCATGTTGAAAAGGCCAGATATTTGACCACATTTTTTTTTTTGGAAAGGGAGTTCGCCACCGAGCATGTGGGGAATTCCATTTATCAAGCAGCAGAGTCAACATGGGAAGCCAAACCGAGCTTGGCAACTTGCCAGTGTTTTTCATTCATGGTATGTCATGGTCAGATTGTTGGACGGTTTCCCTGAGGTGCCTCTGCTTCTCCCTCCCGACATCACCTTCCAGTGGCCCACGGAGCTTCACGGCACCGTCCCTTCGTGGTCGTCCGCCGTCCGTTGCGTTGGCCAGCGCTGCGGGCACGGCAGAGGGGAATAGCGTCAGTGCTGCCAGTATGAACTTAGCGACTCAACTGAACAAATGGAGACTTATAGATCCTCCTTAAGTACCCATTTTAAAAAAAAATCTTGCGTCTTACCATCGTTTTATCCATTTGTTTGTTGTTTTACATTTTTTGGGAGTATTTGGATTTGGAGGGTCTACTGAAGCAAATGATGATGTTGGATCTGATCATTAACCGCTCCTGCCTCAAGCAATATCCACATCCAAATAAAATTAGGGCCAAACTAATTTTGGGGACTCCAGACCTAATTAAAAACAAATACTAGTATATATATATATATAACTATATATTTATAATATTGCGGAAAGCTTTATGAAGAAGGTTGAGGTAGCAATGTATTTCACTATTAAAGTCGATTTTGAAAGCTAATCAATGCTAAACATATTCACCACAAATTTGAGCAGAGAAAACACAGTCACTTTATCAAAGGTACCAAAACATTGCTTTTTATTGTGGGTTCGGAGTCGGTTCAAGGCTACCCCCTGTCCGATGCATTTAGATATTTGTGGATTTGGGGATTTAGATAAAGCATGCCCCGAAGGTTTAGCCGGGTCAACTTTTCTGTACAAAAACTATTCTCTCCTCGGGTCGGGTTGTTTGTCTTTGTTGCAGGGGGGGGATTTACTGATCCATCCATTCATGGTGGCGGGGGATAATTAGATATAATTAATCCAATCTGAACATGATTTGTCCAAACCAAGGATGTCACTTTTGAATCAAACTATTTTTTCAAAACTATAGATTTTCTGTGACATGACTGTATGCTTGTATGGGATGAATTAAATCGGCCGTGGATCGAACATTGGGGTATTCCACAGAAAAAAGATCAACTTTTAGTATTAAACCATCTAATTCTGAGATTAATTTTAAAAAAATACCCAGTTGGATACCCAGCAACAAGCACAGCTATGTCCCTTTAGCAGTTATAAGTACTTATAACCCCATTTATAGAATGTATAATCCCATTTATAACCAGTTATAACTAATAAATGGCCACAACTGTATTGGATACTTGCAACAAAAATAGGACCTCTCATGGACTCCGGGGGCCTTATCCATTGCGATGTTGCCACCGCCCCTTTTTTTGTCGGTCGATTCTCGTGACTTGAGGAGACGTCGATACGGTGGAAAGATCCACCATTTTTGATATGGGTAAATCAACGAACTAAATGGGCTATTTTCAATAGCTATGTACCAAATTACCAGAGGGTATTGACACTAGTGATTTTAGTAACTTTAGTTGTTGATTTTAGCAGCACTACGTACCTATTTTTGTTTTGCAGGGCAATTGTCACTAGGGCTGCTCA